GGCCAAAAAAGTATTTGAAATGTGTTTCAGAGAGTTTAAAATGGTATAAAAAAACCGGTTCGACCGATGGCGTATTTTTCCAAATTCCTTCTTCTACGTTGTTGTTTATGCTATTTTAGGTTGTAAACGTTTTGTCCAACACTTTTTTTTATAATTTATCCGAAGCAACACTATGAAAGTTATATCCTGGATTTACAGCATTCAGTTTTGAGATGAGTGCAGTCACAATGGAGTTTCAGAGATAATTTTCAGATGAACACTTATATTTTCCCTTGCACAAACGCATGTACCTATTCATGTAACATAAAAATAAAGTGGAAATAAATTGCATTTTTTTGCTAGAATTTTTACAATTTACAACACAGCAACTCTGGTTGCTCATTGTGTTGTTTTTACCTATTTTTTGAAATTGTAAAATATACAATATATAAATGTATTTGTATTGTCGTCAATATTATAAAATATCGCCCTAAATTTCTCGAGTTATCCGCAGCTTGCGCTAGTATCACTTTTGCTTCCCCTACCATGACTTCGCATTGAGCAAATAGGCGCAGCGGAAAGTTAACAGCCCTCGTACAAGTGACTCATAACTGAAACTGCTAAACATGAAATAATAGATGTTTAATTATAAAATGTTCCTTTATTAATGACAAACATTTGTGTTGAAAGGGTTGATACAATTGTTCTTTACATTGACAACCATGTTTAGCCTGACTAAGTTAGGTGACATTTCTGTGATATTCAGTACGGGTAGTGATATTATTTGGTATTCACTTTGCGTTGTATACTTTTAATATTTGTTATATAAAAAATAAATAGAATGTTTTAAAAGGAGACCAACACACACCGGAATTTTACATATAAACTCCAATAATATTGTTTCCTTTTTATTTTATTAAATTTTTGTTTCTTAACACAAACCACTATTATAAAATGAACAACTTTTCGATAATTATTCTTACAAGTATTTCCTGAAGCATTAAACGATTTATTGCTTACACTAACCCTGGCAATTTAAAAGGCAACAATGGTTAGCAAGAATAATTAAAAATATTTAAAACTGGCAACATCTATGCCATACTCATTTAAAGTATCAAGGTCATGGAATTTTAATTTCAAAATCCTGTGATCTTTTGCGGGGTTGGCAGTTGGCATCTGGGATAATATGTAGTGGAACGTTGAGATGAAAAACAACATCAAAACCTAGCGATTATTATGATGACAAACTTTAACAATTCAAAAGAATGGTTGCTAGAAAAACTTTTATGCAATTTACCAAAATAGTGTGATAGTTTTTTGAAAAAAGTTATTTGTAAAAAAACCGACTTCTATACACAGTCAACTTAGGATTTACCTAGTATAATTAGAGTAATATTTATTATGTAACATTAATGTATTTGTGCCAGGATTATTACGATTTGTATTGAAGGAGAGCATGTATTAATCTTTGACAAAACGTTTCGTGCATTAATTTATGTCCATAGTCCCAGTATTAAAAGTTATATTCAATAGATTATATTAGGAATCACTAAAATCTGACAGCTCAATAATTTACAGTTAGAGTACTAGATATTTACAGCATTAATTTACCATTAATGATTATTCAGTTATTAGCCAGTACGATGTATAATTTCCGATTATTACATTGTGATCGATATAATCTAAAATATCTGTTTTTGAGTAGGTATGTTCCAATATACCAAATTTACCCAATTTTCAATAAATTTTGTTTCAAGAACATGAATCACCCTTTAACCCTTTGTCAAATACCACATATATGGGTTAATGTTATTTGGAACACCCGTTATAATAACTAGAGTTAAAGATGTATCTTGTTACGGAATATAAATATTTTTTTTGTTATAAAATATTAATTTTTTTTTCTACTCCCTTACTAGTAAATTGCCCATTACCTACTATTTGAATGCTAAGTAAATATATTATTACAGTTACTAACACGTAATGACTAGCACGTAATAAAAAAAATTACGCTTCAGTTCCATGAAAATATAATGTATCACATAAGCCTTGTAAGTCAGTTGCCATTATTTTGACAGAATTAAATTAATAATACCAGCTGTCAATGTAAATGTACAAATAATTTAAATAGAAAAAAGTAAAATGAGTTCATCGGCTAGTGAAGATGAATTTAGTAGCACACCACCCAATGGCCAAAATTATTCGGTTAGCTGCGAACACTACCAATAACCTAGGTATTACCAGAAAAATCAAAAGGAAGATCTAAAAAGGTATATCAGCAATTTATGGATTGGCGTACAACAAATAATATAAAATCATTTTCTGAAAACGTACTCTTGGCTTATTTTGGAGAAATCGCTAAAAAATTTAAACCGTCCTCATTATGGGCAATATATTCTATGTTAAGAAGTGTTATAACTTTGAAAAATAATGTAAACATTGAAAATTATCCGAAATTGCGAGCTTACTTAAAAAGACAGTCAGAAGGTTTTAAAAACAAAAAATCTAAAATTTTACATGCTGATCAGATAAAACTTTTTTAAATAAAGCTCCTGATGTACAATATTTATTAACAAAGGTATGTTATTTAATAGTACTTATAAATGTGTACTTATATTACTTTTATTTTAAGGTTATTGCAATTGTTGGAATATGTGGAGCTTGTAGGAAACAAGAATTAAAAAATATTAAAATTAGTGATATCGATGATTTAAGTACCATATTATTGGTTAAAATCCCTGATACGAAAACCAAAGTATGTAGATCTTTCGTAATTTCCGGAAATTTCTATGAAATCTATAAACAATATATAGAGATTCGGCAACAAATTAGCGATCCGCAAATAAATCAATTTTTCCTTAACTATCAAAAAGGTAAATGTACGAAACAAGTGGTAGGATTAAACAAAATAGGTGGTGTTCCTAAACAAATAGCCGAATATTTAAAGTTACCAGATCCCAAAATGTATACAGGTCATTGTTTAAGACGAACTTCTGCCACTCTTTTGGTTGATGCCGGTGGTGATCTAATGACTCTTAAACGACATGGCGGATGAAAATCTTCAACAACAGCCGAAGGATATGTCGATGAGTCAATAAATAATAAGACGTCAACAGCCAATAGAATTATAAATTCAATTGAAAATAATCTACAAACCTTTACATATACTGAAAATACCAATGTCCAAGAAGAACACACCGTACAGTTTACGTCATTCCACCATTCACCGCGTAAGGGAATAGTTATAAATAATTGCCAAAATGTTACAATTAATTATTTCAAATAAATGTTTAATTTAAATTGTTCCAGAATTTTGTGAAATAAAGTTACTTGTTATGCTTTTTATTTCTATAAATTAAAATAGTCGTAGAAAAAGTATAGTACACAACTAGAGTTGTAAGCTTATTACATGCTCATAAAATTACTGCGCTCGCAACTACGAGGCTCGCGCGCAACTTTTTTACTCGCATGTAATAAGCTCCTTACAACTCTCGTTATGTAATACACTATTAAAAAATCGCCCTTTTGATTTAAAATACATAATGATAAAATATACTTCAGAATTTTGTAAGCTGCTGGTTAAACAAGTTTTACTTTTGTTTTAAAAATTATGATCATGATTTAGATTTAATTATAAATGGTGTTTACCAGTGGCGGTTTACCCGTAAGGGCACTTGGGCACGTATAATAGACAAAAAAAAAATAACATATATTTTCCTCAATGCCTATTATTATTTTAGCTAATATTCAGCGCAAACCGCGTTGGCACGACACTGGACGACCGGGCGTTGAGCGACGTTCCGAGAATTCCGATATTACTTATGGGCACAGGGCACAGTAAATGTGTGCCTCTGTTGTTTTCTCTCTCATTATGATGCGAAAAACAAGGACAACGACAATATCGCTTAGCAAGAGATGAACACATGCGATGGAGTATACGTCACAAGCGGGGCGCTGTCCTCATCGTGACGTGCTTTACCCATGGCACAGATTACTTAGACCAGATACGAATGTACGCAGCGGCATCTTTACCGGCTCCCTCACAAAGGCAATGCCGGTTTCGGCTTAAGGTGCGCGTTTTTTGGACCACGATAATATTTTATTTATTGTGATTACGAAAAAACGTTAGTTGGACCATTGGAATAGTTAATAAATAAAACTATAAAGAAAAATAACTTTTTTTATAAAGCAGTCAAAAATATGATGAAAACAATCAATAATATTTATAAATGGGACAAAATTTTAATTTTTCTTTTGGTTTTGTCAGACTTTCGAGTATTTTAAATCTGTTTGCATATTTAAGAGTATAAAAAATTCTGAGTTTTATAAATAATTTAATGGTGTACATTTTCGCAAATTGTTGGCAAGGATGACCAAATTCTATTTTGCTCATCTCAAAAAGGTATGTGTTGGAAATTTCAGGCTTAGTAGACAAACTATCAAATAGAGATATAAATATTTTTTCTAATTTGAAAATATAAAAGAGAAATTTTTCGCTGGGAGATTTTAAATTGCCAAACACCTTTTCTTCAGAGTCGTATGCTTTAAAATGCGTTAACAAGTTAGAATTCTTAAGTAAATTGCATTCTTCTGAGAAATATACGCAAATTTCGCAAGAGTGGATATGTAATGATTTTTTGATTAAATAGCCTCATACATAGTTAAATGCATTTTGAGTGGTCACATTTAGCTCCCTGTAGTCACATTCAGAAATCGTTATTGCCCCAACTGATTGTTTTGAAATATATTTAATTTTCATTAAGCGGAGAACTTGTTTTCCTAAGGGAAAAACTAATCCCGGGATTCCTTTCCAGTGTGTGCCCCACTGCCGCTAGTGCCCACGAGCCGCCACTGGTGTTTACCCAGAATTGCCGAAAGCAAATATAGCAATAAATGATCATAAATGATGACGACCTCGCATGTTTTTTCTAGATTTTTAAAGAGAACGTAATCGATATCTATAAATATTCGTCAATAATTTCCAGTAAACGGAAACAAAATAAATATAAAAATACACCGAATTACGAAACACTCAATCGTTGATCTTTCGCCCATCTTCTTATTACGTTTGCTATTTGATCAGCTTGATTCGACGTACTGCTTCTCAAAAGTTGCAGTATGTCTCCTAGCATGTCAACTGGAAACTTTTTGGCTATGACACCCTGAAAAACAAAAATATGAAATTATTTAAAACAAATATTTAGAATATGGATTGCAGATAGTAATTTTGAATTTAAAATCCAAACCAAAGAACAAATTAGTTTCAAAATCGCGGTTTGGAAATACCAATGAAATATAGGAAAAAATTTGTTTTCTTTATATTGTTTTTTATAATCTAAATATGGTTACCAATAAACATTTTCACATGTCCTGAAATGCCCAACATTTTTACAATAATCACATGACATGTTATGTACATGCTATTTATCACGTAATAAATAAATACATGCTATTTATCACGTAATAAATAAATATCTTTTATAAATATACTTAAGTAGATTCTATTCACGTGTTAAAAACATTCTTTAGTATTATATTTCAGATCACTATACAGGGTATTTTCAAAGTTGAGTCATTTATTTTTAACAGCTTGTAGAACTCGTCAAAAGAAGTCGATATACCAAAAATGACCTAAATAAAAGTTGCATATTAAATGAAATAAAAAGGAATTTCAAAATTTTAAAACTAAAACAAATACAAACTAATTATCCGCATATTTTAATATTCCTGACCACTGCCAAGTAAAAACTTATCGTTGTTTGTTTACTACGACAATTTTACTTATCTAGGTATGGCTATTTTTTTTTATTTTACGGTTTTGAGAACGATTTTCGGTTAGTTATTGGTAGCAAGCGTTTAGTACGTATCACTTTAATTTTTTTTGATATTTTGTACGGAAAAATGGCCCACGTTTATGGACAGCGTTGTATAGGGAATGACAAAACCATTTTAATGAGGTATCACTTAACCCTCTTCTCATTTGAAAAAATTTGGAGGATGACACCCCTACTGAGGGAGTTGAAGGTTTTACTATGCTTTTTGAGTCAAAAGGTGTCCCCTTGACAAACAAACTTGACTTGTTTTGGTTTTCGCCGAAAAGTTCTGTTCCACCCTGTAATGCCTTACAGTACGTTTTTGATGGGCCATTATGTATATGGTGGTTCCATTAGTTTGGTGGATCTACCTCAGTTCCTTCTTGTGTTCATTGGACAGAAAGACAAAACGACAAAAATAAAAAATAAACTTTTTTCAAACAACAATGTTCTTGGCTCACAATATTTTATATGGGTATACCGGTAGTCATGTGTTAATTATCCTCCCTTATCAGTACATTTGGATTTACCGACGATAATTATAATGTTATTTAATCTAATAATATCTAAAGAATTATAATCTACAGATTAAAATTCGGAGAAAAAAATAATCAAAAGTACAAAGTATTAAAAAACATTTGAAATAGTCGTATTTGCATACGTATTTTAATTTTTTATCACCAAAGATTACTTTTATTTATCACATTCTTTCCATTTAATAGGCTTTTCAAAAATTTATTATTATAAACATCTATAAATTGCAGGCGAAATTGGGGGGCACCAGGTTCTGGCTTTATTGGACAAGTAACAAAAAAATAGTCGGTTTTGTTTTTCCGATGTTTATTTTATGAAATAAATATATTTTCATGACGTCATCACCAGTTTTTTTTCAAATAACCATATATCTGCATAAAAAAACGTTGTTCAGCATTCATAAAAATTAGTAAAATTGTTGTTATCCCAAAAATATTATTATGTAACACATTACGAAAGGAGCGGGCACCTTTCTTATGAACAAATGGTTATCCGTTAAAATTGCTGAAATTTTTGTAAAACACAAACACGTACAATTATTATAAAAATGGATACATTAACAATATTGTTTTTTACCCTTTCATGCATCCTTCTGCTTCCTCCGAGCGATTCCGGCACACTCCACTGGCTCCCCTTAATCAAGCTTGGGGTCCAGCCTGCTTTCCCTCCTTTTGGGGTTCGCATGGCGGTTCTGAAACGCAGATGGCTTATTGTGCCACAATTTAGATGTCCTACTCCTTCCCATTCATCATACACTCATTTATCGTCATTCATTCCACGTCGTCGATGGTTAACCGCTAGTCGGCTAAGTCTCCCATCCACGACGTAACCGGAGACATTCCGGCTTAACTGCCGTGAGAGACAATATTGTTTTAGTTTTAGTTATATACTGGCTTCAAACAAAGCCTATATTAAATGGCCCACGTTACTTTATCTATATTTCATTTAATTATTTGAGAATCTTACGCGAAGAACATACAGGATGATGAAATAGCGTCGTTTTTTGCACGAACTTTAATGAAATCCAGAATGGACCTCTTATTTGAATTTGATAATAAAATCAAAAAGGTAATGGAACAAATAATATTTTTACATAGCCTAGCTTAAGGAATAAAAACTCATACACAGGCGAGTGTAAAGGATAAAGGACCAGACTTAAAGGTAAGGGTCTAAAAATTTGTAAATGGGCAGGATTAAGGAGTAATGGGTGCAAACACTTTTATATGAACAGGCTTCAAGGGCAAGTGGCTCAAATATTGTTACTTGTTGGTACAGTCGTAAGTGGTAAAAGGGACTAACTATTTTGATATGGGCTGGCTTTAGTTTTACATGGTCAGGCTTAAGACATAAATGAGATAAATATTACATGGGCAAGCGTAAGGAGTAAAAAGGTACATGGGCAAGCTTAAGTAATAAAGGGTCAAAATATTTGTACATAGGCAGACTTAAGGAGTAAAGGAACCAAATATTTTTACAAGAACAGACTTAAGGAGTAAAGGAACCAAATAGTTTTAAATAAATTTGCTAACCCTAATCAAAAGGCGACACATAAATGTATAAGATTAATTTATTGACCTGAAAAACTCCTACGATAGAGCCTCTCTTGCCTTCCCAAAATTCCGGATTCGGTTCGATTCTGTCCAACATATCGAACGCCTTGGCGGCGTACCAAAACTCCCCCATCTTGTAGCAATCGTTGGCGATTAACAGCAATAGATTGAATCCCTCTGAAGTGTTTTCCATTTTTCCGTACAGCTCCCAAGCCAGCTGCGGTTTCTTGTTCATGACGAAGCAACGAGCTAGATTGGAAATGTAGACGTAGTCGTTTTTTATTCTAGGATCTTTGATGACGAGGAATATTTCTTCGGCTTCCTTGAATTGATTGCAAGCTGCTTTAGCTTGAGCGAAATTGAAGTTGAAGGTGTCGTCTGGAAGAAATGACATTAAATAACCAATCTAAGGCAAAGTCATTAAATATGTATAAAATAAAGGATAGAACAGATACGCTTTGCTTACATTAACTTTGCCCGCTACATAAGCCTGACGAGGCGATATTCACATGTTTTGTATAAAACTTTTAATAATAATCCTTCCTTAATAAAGAAATGAAAGTATCAATATCAGTATTTTTATACTAAGGAATTTCCAGTCAAATGTAAGCTTAAATATTGTGTTTTTGTGATTTAAGAGTAGGTATAAGTTAAATATTGAAATGTTTTATAAGGACATTTAGGATGGTGACGGAATGTGTAGTGTGGCTGTTTAAATACGTACATCTGTCCGTAGTTAAAAAAATAACGAAACAGAACAAGTCGGTCTTGTTGCATATTAAAATTTTACGAATTAATTAATTGTCTAACTTGTGTGAAGTTAGCGCACGGCGCTGGCGCCCAATATCAGCGCTTACCCCCCTCCACAAAGACAAGTTCACACTGCTTAAATTCATCAACACTATGAGTAGTTACAATTTTTCATTTAGGTATTTATTAATGAGTAAAATTTATAATAATATGTAATGAGATGATCTAAATTGAAAATAAAAATATATCAATATAATTTTACATAACCACAGCGTTTTTGTATCAGATATATTCTGGCTGTGCAAATTTTTAAGACCTATAAAGAGCTATACGTAATATTAGAGACAAGGGAATTATTTTTGGACTAGAAAATGATGCGTTGTACCACATTCTGGTTATGTGTGATTTAATCTGCTACTAGAGGACTAGGTACTTTTTATAAAAATATCAGTTTTCTAAAACCTCGGCGTCATAGATTAAGAAGCACCCCTAAAAAATTATTATTTTCTTACGAGAAAATTATGCGTTGTGTCATATTCTGGTTATTTGGAATTTAATCTACTTCTTAGTGACTAATTTTTCTAAAAATGGCAATTTTCTAAAACCCCGGCGTCATAGATTAAGAAGCACTCCTAAAAGATTATTATTTTTTTACGAGTAAACGGCGCTTTGTGCCACATTCTGACTAAGTGCGATTTAATCAGGTACCTACCTCACGACTACATTCTCTAAAAATTTCAGTTTTCTAAAACCCCGGTGTCATAGGTTAAAACGCACCCCTAAATATATCTTATTTTTTAACGAGAAAATTATGCGTTGTGCCATATTCTGGTTATTTGGAATTTAATCTACTTCTTAGTGACTAATTTTTCTAAAAATGGCAATTTTATAAAACCCTGGCGTCATAGATTAAGAAGCACCCCTAAAAGATTATTATTTTTTACGAGGAAACGGCGCTTTGTGCCACATTCTGACTAAGTGAGATTTAATCAGGTACCTCACGACTACATTCCCTAAAAATTTCAGTTTTCTAAAACCCCGGCGTCATAGGTTAAAACGCACCCCTAAATATATCTTATTTTTTAACGAGAAAATTATGCGTTGTGCCATATTCTGGTTATTTGGAATTTAATCTACTTCTTAGTGACTAATTTTTCTAAAAATGGCAATTTTCTAAAACCCCGGCGTCATAGATTAAGAAGCACCCCTAAAAGATTATTATTTTTTTACGAGTAAACGGCGCTTTGTGCCACATTCTGACTAAGTGGGATTTAATCAGGTACCTCACGACTACATTCTCTAAAAATTTCAGTTTTCTAAAACCCCGGCGTCATAGGTTAAAACGCACCCCTAAATATATATTATTTTCTTACGAGAAAATTATGCGTTGTGTCATATTCTGGTTATTTGGAATTTAATCTACTTCTTAGTGACTAATTTTTCAAAAAATGGCAATTTTCTAAAACCCCGGCGTCATAGATTAAGAAGCACCCCTAAAAGATTATTATTTTTTACGAGGAAACGGCGCTTTGTGCCACATTCTGACTAAGTGGGCTTTAATCTTTTAGGGGTGCTTTTTAATCTATGACGCCGGGGTTTTAGAAAACCGCCATTTTTAGAAAAATTAGTTCCCAAGTAGAAGATTAAATCCCAAATAACCAGAATATGGCACAACGCCTATATTTGCCGTAAAAAAAATAATACATATTTAGGGGTGCGTTTTAACCTAGGACGCCGGTGTTTTAAAAAACTGAAATTTTTAGAGAATGTAGTCGTGAGGTACCTGCTTAACTCCCACTTAGTCAGAATGTGGCACAAAGCGCCGTTTCCCCGTAAAAAAAGTAATAATCTTTTAGGGGTGCTTCTTAATTTATGACGCCGGGGTTTTAGAAATTTGCCATTTTTGAAAAAAATAGTCACCAAGAAGTAGATTAAATTCCAAATAACCAGAATATGGCACAACGCATAATTTTCTCGTAAAAAAATAATACATATTTAGGGGTGCGTTTTAACCTAGGACGCCGGGGTTTTAGAAAACTGAAATTTTTAGAGAATGTAGTCGTGAGGTACCTGCTTAACTCCCACTTAGTCAGAATGTGGCACAAAGCGCCGTTTCCCCGTAAAAAATAATAATCTTTTAGGGGTGCTTCTTAATTTATGACGCCGCGGTTTTAGAAAATTGCCATTTTTACAAAAAATAGTCACCAAGAAGTAGATTAAATTCCAAATAACCAGAATATGGCACAACGCATAATTTTCTCGTAAAAAAATAATACATAATTAGGGGTGCGTTTTAACCTAGGACGCCGGGGTTTTAGAAAACTGAAATTTTTAGGGAATGTAGTCGTGAGGTACCTGATTAACTCCTTCTTAGTCAGAATGTGGCACAAATCGCCGTTTCCCCGTAAAAAAAATAATAATCTTTTAGGGGTGCTTCTTAATTTATGACGCCGGGGTTTTAGAAAATTGCCATTTTTAAAAAAAATAGTCACCAAGAAGTAGATTAAATTCCAAATAACCAGAATATGGCACAACGCATAATTTTCTCGTAAAAAAATAATACATATTTAGGGGTGCGTTTTAACCTAGGACGCCGGGGTTTTAGAAAACTGAAATTTTTAGAGAATGTAGTCGTGAGGTACCTGCTTAACTCCCACTTAGTCAGAATGTGGCACAAAGCGCCGTTTCCCCGTAAAAAAAATAATAATCTTTTAGGGGTGCTTCTTAATTTATGACGCCGGGGTTTTAGAAATTTGCCATTTTTGAAAAAAATAGTCACCAAGAAGTAGATTAAATTCCAAATAACCAGAATATGGCACAACGCATAATTTTCTCGTAAAAAAATAATACATAATTAGGGGTGCGTTTTAACCTAGGACGCCGGGGTTTTAGAAAACTGAAATTTTTAGAGAATGTAGTCGTGAGGTACCTGCTTAACTCCCACTTAGTCAGAATGTGGCACAAATCGCCGTTTCCCCGTAAAAAAATAATAATCTTTTAGGGGCGCTTCTTAATTTATGACGCCGGGGTTTTAGAAAATTGCCATTTTTACTTTCCTATCTGTATACAGATATAAGGAAAGTATAGGAATCATGATTTTTTTCGACCTCGAGTTTTCGACGGATTTTTACGTTTTGAGGTCCCCTGAATCCGTTTTGACTATTTTCGCGATGATGTCTGTGTGTGTGTGTGTCTGTGTGTGTGTCTGTGTGTGTGTGTGTGTGTGTGTGTGTGTGTGTGTGTGTGTGTGTGTGTGTGTGTGTGTGTGTGTGTGTGTGTGTGTGTGTGTGTGTGTGTCTGTATAACGCATAACTCATGAACCGATACACAGAAAAACACCAAATTTTAAACTTAAGCTTTGTTTCAGCGTCCAATGAGCTGATTAGATTTTGGGCAGTGTCGGAACATCTGGGGGGTACTTTATAGGTGGTCATTTTTATATTTTATGGAATATATCTGTTATTTACGTTTGGAGAAGAAAATTCTTCAAATAAAAGTTACTTCTAATATAATTATCTATAATTTTTGTTTTATGCAAAATTTTCCTAAAATGGTCCGTATTCGAGAAATTTGACAAAATGTAAAAAACATAATTTTTTATAAAAATTGTTCAAATAAAAGTTGTTTGTAATATAATTCTCTATAATTTTTGTCCTATACATAATTTCTCTAAAATGGACCGTATTCGAGATATTTGAGAAAATGTGTAAATTTCTAAATTTGAAGAAAACTCAAAAACGGATAAAGGAAAAAACATTAAATTTTAAACTTAAGGTTTATTTCGGCCTGACGTGAAATGATTAGATTTTGGACAAAGTCGGAACATCTGGGGGGGTACTTTATGGGAGGCCGTTTTTATATTTTATGGAATATATCTGTTATTTATGTTTGGAGAAGAAAATTGTTCAAATAAAAGTTACTTCTAATATTATTATCTGTAATTTTTGTTTAATGTCAAAATTTCCTGAAATGGTCCGTATTCGAGAAATTTGACAAAATGTGCAAAATTCTGATTTTTATGAAAATTGTTGAACTAAAAGTTGTTTGCGATATCGATTTCTATAATTTTTGTTTATACATGATTTTTCTAAAATGGACCGTAATGGAAAAGTGCTAAATTTAAATTTTTCTGTATTTTCGTTTTCAATGAAAATCTATAGAAAAATGTTTCGAGGTAGATGTATGTGTAAAATGTATATATTTAGTTTATCCTCTAAACATTTATAGAGATGCTGCAATAGGTTGTACAAAATAACCGGAAAATGCCTATAATAACTAGATAGGAAAGTCATGTGTTGGACACATCAGATTTTTGAAAAAAATAGTCACCAAGAAGTAGATTAAATTCCAAATAACCAGAATATGGCACAACGCATAATTTTCTCGTAAAAAAATAATACATAATTAGGGGTGAGTTTTAACCTAGGACGCCGGGGTTTTAGAAAACTGAAATTTTTAGGGAATGTAGTCGTGAGGTACCTGATTAACTCCCACTTAGTCAGAATGTGGCACAAATCGCCGTTTCCCCGTAAAAAAATAATAATCTTTTAGGGGTGCTTCTTAATCTATGACGCCGGGGTTTTAGAAAATTGCCATTTTTAGAAAAATTAGTCACCAAGAAGTAGATT